TACGGACGCGGGCGAGCGCGCGGAAGATGATGCAACGCGCAGCGAAAAATTTCCGCGAAAACTTCCGGATATTGCGATAAATTGCGAACGTTACCCGATACTACAGCGACGTAGTGATTCCCGGAGTAAAGTGGTTGTTCCACAAATTCTGGCATGGCTTCCATAAGTTCTGGGGATAGCACGAAGAGGCGGCGCGGCGGTGGGGTGTATGTACGTAAACTCAAGATAACTCAACCGCTTTAGGATTCGCCGGGAACCGAGAAGCCTGGAGGATCTCCCGATATATCCGACGTTCTGTGTGATGCGGCTGATGGAAGAACCAAAATAGCGTATATCCGTTCAATAATATTTTTATAAGATTCTCTCTCTCTCCCTCTTCCCTTTCTCCTTTTTCTCTTTGTCTATATACCTATCCGTCTCTCTTTTTCTGTACGCGCCTTATGATCCGATATAATTCAAGCGATCTGTCAGGAGTAGTCCTTTTACTCGAGAATGAATACAGGGCATATCGATTATTTTTAGCTCCGTTGAAATTCAGTTATCTTGTCATAAGTTTTAAAACAATCTCACTTCGGTTTGTTAAATTGGTGAGTAGGACAACGGCGTTTCGAGCTCACGTCTATTCGCGTCTCCGGCCAAAATGTTTGACTGGTTTATCGATATCTGCGACGAGAATAGTCGCTTTTAATTATTCATACTATTGCATCTTCCCGCAATCTTAAAAAGCGGTGAAGCTGGAGCTATATTTATTTAACGTAAATAAAAAAAAAGTAAAAGTGTTCCGTAAACTTTCATTTTAGAGTCAAACTCGCGTTATTCTCGTAAGTTACATCTGAAAATCCCAGTCACACATGCATGGCACACCCATACATTCAACATAATTATAAAAAAAAAGTCTGTACAAATAGACATAAACCATGGAGAAGTAAGGCAATTTTTTTTTAGTTTCTTGCGGTGGATTTATAAAACTACGACCATACGCGGCGCTTCTCACGCGACTGCCGCTGGCACGTGGAAATATGCGCAGCTTTATCCAGCGCGCGATATAGTATTAATTCGTTCCGCTCCGAAAGCTAATCCAGACACGAGACTAACCCTTGTTCATTTTCTTCCCTCTGCACCCCAAAATTCGTCCACTCTGCTCTTTGATACGTGACCAGGCTCCCGAATCGTTTGTTCACCTTTCCCCTCCTAAATCTCCGTAGATATTGCTATGATGTTGCTTTATGCGGCATTTTATCCCAGAGCACGCGGTTTCACACGAAGTCATACTTTTTCGGCGAGAAATAGCGTGGCCATAGTGTATCTTTTAAAACAAAAATCTTCAAAAACAAAAATTCATAATTTAAATCCACAATGCACACACCGAGTTATTTAATTATTCTTTCTTCAAATCTAATATTTATATAATTACAAAATTGTTGTTAATCCTCGCAAATGTGAAATAATGTTTAATTAAAGTAACAATGTTTTGCTGTTAAATTATATACCCCCGTATTTTTCTATTACCAAATTAATAACATTTATTTAACACACACACACACGCACACACGCACACACAAGATCCAGAGAAATAATATTATTAGTAACGAAATTAGATGAATTTATTGCTTAAAAGTTTATCAGTTTGATGTTCGATTAAAATTACGAAGAGGCATTTGACGGTATCAGATTGCACATCACACAACGTGCGAGTGGCAATCAATTGCTCTCAAGATTCTAACTTTCTTTCCCTATACGGTCGTCCCAGTTAGCTTTTCCATGTCGAAAGAACACCTCCAGTGATCCGAAGACAATCTGACGATCTGGAGAACCTCTTGATTCCACACGGCGAATGTGTTCGATCCGTTGAGGGATCCCCGTACCTGAGGATCCCGAAAAAAGGAAGTACCTTCTCTAATAAATTCCATTAGGCATGGGCTCTTGCGCGTAAGGGCCCCGATATTATGTTACGCGTTTTGACGTGCGCTCTCAATGGCCGCGCATCCATTACGTCGGCCGGGTGTGCAGGGCAACGGGTCCTCGAGGTCAGGGACTCATTCAGTCCGGGGTCCTCTGTGACGACGTGTTCCTTTCGTACCTCTCCGCCCCTTAGGTCCCTTTACGAATGTGGACTCAGTCGCGCGCAAACCAGGCGAGCATAATTCGATTCACGGACTGCTTCGCTTCTTCCTACCCGCGTGCGCGCATCCTTTGTCGCGGGATGCTCATCCTGGATACCGGATAGCGGCACGCATGATCTCGTGCCCTTTTGTCGATGCTCGAACTTTCTCTCTCCTGGTCCTCCTCGGTCTGTTTTTATTTATTCTCCTCGAGCAGCAACGATGACGACGACGACGACGTGCAGGTCCTCTCTCCTTTTCGTGCGCTCGAGCTGTTAGAGCGCCGGGAAAAGGAGCGACGACGACGACGACGATGGCGAGGTGAGATCCTTCAAGTAACTGTGTCAGGACAATACCCACTCCCGCCGATCTATTAGCAAGAATAACGACGTGCCACAGACTCTTCTGCCTCGATGGCTCCGGCAAGGATGAATAGACTGGCGTAGCTTCTGTCGAGCACTCGAGTTGCGCAAACGTTTCGTACGTAACGAACGGATTCTGGGGTTAACAAGTTTCAGGTATAATAGAAACGGTTGACAAGGCGCACTGTCAACTACAGCGTCCGCTACAGCGAAATTTCTATTAGCAAAAATTATTGACATTCCGCAACAGGATAATAATTTTGTAATAATAAGTGAACAGACAATAGAATAATTATTTTGATTAAGAACATTTTTTTTTAATACGTAGATCTACGCAAATCACATGCATGAATTTAATATTATACACGCTGGTACTACAATTTGGGCAGTACGGTTACATTAATTAAAATTTAATAGCCTCCATTGGGAAATATTAATATAAGGATTCACATTTGATCGCGCCAGACGTGCATCCGGGGTTAGGAAGGAGGATACAATAAAAGAATTTTACATTTGGGATTATTATTATTAATATATGATTATTATTAATTACGCCGATATATATTAATTCGTTCGCCAATTATACGATGTAATCACAGCTGACGTTCGTGGTACCGTTAATACGTGTGCCATTCGCCCGTAGTCTGAGCAAACGCAAAAGGGCTGTTTTTCCGAGATGACTTCTGACTTCTGGAAAAGGGGCACTGTGCCCTTGAGACGTTATGCTAGTTTACGCGTCTCTTACCTTCGTCGATGGACCGATGCACATTGGTAGTAATGCCAAATGGTGCTTTCCTCACAGGAGGGAGGGAACGGGAGGGACCGAGAGCGAAATGTCGAAACTGGGAAAGTTCGGTCGTAAAAGGGTCGAGTGCTCTTGGTTGAACCAAGTCGGGCGGGACGGTAGGTGCGGAGGGGAGAGGGTCGCGTAAGCGAAGCACGAATCGAAGTTGGTAGCTACGGCGAACGGGTGGAAGGAAGGATGAAGGGGAGACGAGCACGCGATTAGACGAGATTGAGAAAGTCCTTTGTCGTCGCACGGGATAAAACTTTTTCCTTCTTTTTTTTTCTCTTCTCTCCGCTCTCGCACCCTCTTCCTTCATCTTTCGCTCACCCGGCTCTCCCTTCGCTGTGCCCTCCCCCTTCCCTTCCGCGTCTTCTTCCGCTCACGCCGCCGCCTCCTGTTGCGCCCTTTATCGTCCAATAGGATATCAGGCGACGTTCGTTACGACCGCCAGAAAAAGAGTACGGACGAATCCGCCTCATTGGCTGGCACTCGATGCAGAAGAAGCGGAGCTCGAATTTCTTGCCGATATTCCCATACCGGATCTCTTTTTAGGCTTTTTGTCGACGTAATGCCCGAATCTGACTATTTTCGAATGACACCGGTGATCAACTGGTACAATTATATTGTCGTCTACGTAAACGAAAACAGGAGATTTTAATTGTTCTTGAAATATATTTTTATAATAATGATAAAATAAAGTGATAAAATATTTTAGAATAATATTGCATACATATTGAGACAAAGTAAACCGCAAGTAAATTTCTCTAATGCAAACGCGAGTACATACGGCGCTTAAACTATCTGACCGAAATTTAACTTCGCAACTGCTTGCGCTTACCACGGTGTGCATAAAGCCCTCTGAATATTACAGTATGCGTCTAACAATAATCTGCTAACGCTCTCGTAGAAAATATCGAAATAAATGATGTGATAGTCTTTCGCACCGTGAATCAACGAATCGCATTAGGCTCTGCATTTTTAATATCTCCCAACGATCTTTTTAATCCGCGACACTCGCAAATCCACGCCGCTGCCTCGCGTTTGCGTCAACGCTTGAAAGCGAACTTTTGCCGGATTTGGTTTAAAAAAAAAATCTTGGCTTAAAAAAATCCCAGATCGCTCGCGGATAGGATTAGCGGTGCTCCACGCCGCATCTATCCACCCCCGGTCGCGATGATGGCGCGTCGCGTGTGAACCGTGCCTAATCGTGAGATCGGCTCAACCCTTCGCCAGATGAAAACCGGAGCTGGAGGCCACCTGCCCTGGATTACTCGGTGCGAGCATTATAAGCCTCAAGACCGTCAGCCGCCCTAGATTCTAGGTCGAATCCTCGCGCCGTCGTCGGGATTTTCCCCCTCCGTCGTCGCTTTTCTTACCAACCGTCAGAACCAATTTTATTCCGAGACAGGCAATTTTTAAATAGCTGTCGTATTTCCACTGACCATCTCATAAAAATAACTTCTTTTCGACTCCTACAATCTTCTTTTTTTTTTTAACAATTTGTAAGGGTTGATTTTTATTACATCAGTGACGAGGGACGAGATACAATGCAGGAGTAGCCTGCCTGTTCAAAAAGGAAATTTCACGGGCAAAAGGGTTTTTTTTAAAGGAATTCCCTTTTTTAGACACTTTTATCTTATAGACGTCGATATTTATAACTCTATTGTAGACATCGCGCAATTAAGGAAGATGTTAAAGGGTGTCCAGCGTTCCTCCAAACTGAGTGTGCCTTTTCTTTTGTTGTTGCAGGGTGTTTGTTGGACAGTTCGGCACCACGGGGCCCGCCTGATGTGCCACCCCGTAACCCCGCAATGAGCCGGCTCAACGGAAGACTGCCAGGAAGTCACGCAGCGAGCGATCACGAACGCGATCCCGATCTCGAGCCATCCTGTCTCGTACGCACCCCATCCGGTAACTTCTACAATATACCAAGTGAGTTCTCGCAGGCAGGGATCGTTAAGTCTGATTTAGTAGAGAGAAGGAATGAACGAGCAGTCATAGAGATACGTGGGAAACAATTTTCCCCTTTTACTTTGTTATTCTACGAGTGGCCAATCTAAAATCGATTCGTTCGGCACGAAAAGAACATTTCAACAACAATTGGCATTTTCACAATTTTGAAAAATTTAACTACAAATATTTACAGAAGTGAAATTATACATCATTTGTCAAAAGATTAATCGCTCGAGCTTTTTTTTATTTTTAATTGCTTATAGTTCGAGAATTATCGAGTCTTTGTTAAAAAAAAATTATCTTTGTTAAAAAAAAATTATCAACTGCACAAGGTTAATCATAGAATCTGTAGACGATATTTCTGGTATTACTCCGTACATTTTCCCTTTCATCTTTGTCAAAAGATCTACGATCGCCATTACCTTAATTAAGAAATATTTATCTGAGAAAACTGCTTTTTTTCTCTTTCTCTCTCTCTCTCTCTCTCTCTCTCTCTTTCTTACTTTCTTTCTCATATGGTCAGGTAATTGCGTTACGAAATGAAAGAGGCTCTATTTCCGTAGCTCTCGTATCTTCTACAAAACATCGATTTATCTTCGCACATGCACAAATATGAAACTCTAACACGTTTAGTAGTGTCACGCGATTAATAAACGAAAATATATACATCAACGTAAATACGGATAAATATTTGTTAGGGAGAGAAGCGTATCTTTGCGAGCGCAAGTATCCTGTTGGGTGTCCCGACAGGGTGTCCCTCCTCTGATAATATCGGCGGTGTTTGCGCCAAGCCGTCGAAAGAAGGCTTAGCAAAGAACGACGGCGGGTGACATCTTTGACGAGGGTATACATCGTAATCAGCGGTAACCAATGAGGGGGGTCAGCCAAAGAGTGGGGTATCGATAATTTCCTGCAGTCTCTCTTCCGTGCTCGGCGGCATCTTATCGTCCCCAAGTTTTTTAACGAAAGCCACGCTACGTACCTGAAATTTTTCCCTTTTTTTTCTTAACAAACTTTTCGTACGCCTTCTTCGTCCGTTTGCCGAAGGATTTCGAAGGTATCTCTTCGATTTATCTTGGGAAAGCAAGGCACGTGATAACGTGGAGGCCGATGCTCGCGTGTTGCGCGTGAGAAAACGCGGCTTCTCGTGAAATAAAAGTTGGAAATAAAAAGTCGGGACTTGTTGGAGTAGCCTCGAGACTAACTTGACTCTAACAAGCCGAACGATTCTCAAAATTTAGTCGCCGCAGATTGGTCTGTGGAGAGAGCGAATTGGTACGAGCTCGGCTTGCCAACTTAGTCTTTAGCGAGTTCTTCAAACTTACGCCCGCATAGGCAAATTAATTACAAATCTAATTTAAAGGATCGTAACATGAAATAACACCGCGCACTACCGATGGTAACTTTTCAACGGGATAAAAAAAAAGATGTTAAAAAAAAACTACCCGATAGATAGTATTATCCAATGAAAAGTAATGAAACAGTAATAGACATCGCGAACATTGGAATTGCGACATCGCGAGACGTTTTGAATTCGATTATTTCGATCGCGATTTTTAGTTAAAATTTAACTTGGCTTTACGGAAATTGTGTAAAAGACAAATGGTCTCGATTTTCATATGGAAAACAATAGGCTCGAAACTCGAACCATATACGGAGGTGAAGGACGAATCCCTTGACGGTTTCACTTGTCCTTTGCCATACCACGAGCGCACTCGTGGAAAGAAAAGGGCGCCTTGCGGCGACATTTTTCCGAGGTACTCCACCGGCGCGTGGTATCGACTACAGAGAAAACAACGGCGAAACCTAAGCTTTTCTACGTATAAAGTCTCCCCCGGTCCACTCGGCGACTCGGGAAGTGTCCGGCACAAATACCCGGGCACCCGGGTGACACGCTCTTTTCTCTTGTTCGGCTCGCCGTAAAGATTTTTCAAATTCCACGGTCGAGCGCCGGGGTTGACTTTTCCTCCGATGCGTCTCCTGTGCACCCTGATGTTTTTCTAAAGCAAACGTGGATCGCTTCAAAGGTTCTCTTAAAATCCGTGGGATAGCTCGAACAGTGATTTACGAGCCTTACGATCCTTCGTCTTATTGACTCCTTGGTTATGACACCGCCTGACGCTTAGGGCCGTCTGCATAATGCGTAAGTCCATAGACGAGACCTTACTTTCCGAGGAGTCACCTTGCTTGCGCAGTAGGTGAATTTGCTCTCGTTTCTGCTTTCATTTTTTCCGCTCGAATTTTCTTACTACCTACCTCGAGTCTCATTTGTTCTTGTTATAATTATGAATTGGATGATTGACGTATAAATAAAAAAACACCTTTACGTGCTAAAAGGATTATACTTATTTACGTACAATACCTGATACTTGTAAGCACTCAATAAATCAATCTCTTTTGTGTCCAAAAATTTATGGTACATTATTACGGAACTTCTTACGGCGGCAAACTGTACGTAAAGAAAAGCATTTTGATTCTTGAAATACTAATTCTTTTAAAATTTTTTTTTTTTGCAAAAAAAATTATACTTTATCCTCTCCAATATTAAATATTTGCGTCTATTTTTGTTAAGTTTCTTATATTTTTCATGTTGTTCGAGAAAAGTCATCTTACAGCTCTTGACAGAGATATATAGCTCAATATTATCGCGCAACCGAGATTCTCGTCCCTCAAAATGATTTGACACGACCAACCCAGCTCTAATTCGATGCGTACTCACGTTCAACCCTTCTTCTTCAAGCTATTCTTCGCGTGATGATGCCTCTCGCGAGCGCATCATCGGCGGTAAATCACCTGGCAGGTCGCCAATTAGAAAGAATTCTCGCCGGCGAACCGCCGATTAGCGGATATTCTCCTTTAATTCGATTCCGGGCGACGGGGGTCGCCGTCTCGTGCGCCTAAGCACCCCGGAGGAAAAATAAAAACGGAGAAAGACACCCTCCAGGTAGAGAGCGGGGTATCCCCCGAAATCACCGTAATCACCGATATCTGCCTAAATGGCATAATCACCGGATTTCGGGGCCGGAGCACCAACACCTGCAATTAGCGGTGGTGGGGTCAGCAAGCGCTTCGGCCGGGCCCTCTTCTCTTCCCACGCCCGCGTTTTACCGTTCACCAAGGTATGCCTAAAGGTGCGGGGCACGTTAAGAGTTTGGGCGAGCTCTCCCCGTAAGAAGACAAAGGGCGCTGGAGCAACGGAGCTCCGATGCGCCTCTTCGTATCGAGCGTATCCCGAAAAAGGGTTTCGTGAAGCGGACTCGAGACCGGTTAAGTGTCAAGAACAACAAAGCTCGAACTGGAATGCCGCTTGCGCGCGTAAACGTGTAAAGTGGCTCATTAATATTCAAAACGCTGGAGCACTGCGTTTTAAATGCGCACCGCGCTACCGCGACCGTATCTCGACGTGTGGAGAGGCAGAGAGAGAGAGAGAGAGAGAGAGAGAGAGAGAGAGAGAGAGATTCGAGTTAAACTTCTAAAATTAATTCACAGCTTGTTTCAAATGTAAATACATTTCAGCATGCTTATTTCTATTTTATCAGTTATTATATCCGGATTTAAATATGTAATTCTGATCTTTTTTTCCACGATATTTTCCGCTGACCACGAATGTTGCGCGTATTTCTAATTTTTGCGGAAATTGCCGGAAATTAATGTTGTAGAAGCGCGCGTTTTGCCGGCGAGCCATTTTATCGCAGCTAATACTAACTCGAATATTTCAGCGGGAGTATCGCGAGAGACGTAATAGAATTCGTGTTACTCCGCTATTCTATGCCCGAAACTTGTGTGTTCGAGGTTCCCTCGGTTGAGGATTAACGCGTTAATACCACTCGTGCATATTGTTGCGAGAGTGTGATCCCTCAGACCACACCACCGCCCGCCACTAATCATCAGTACTGTCGTCACGACGTTTACGATCGTCCATCGAATATGCGGAATCGTGTATATACAGGATGCGCCGCTTCCAATTTTCGAGATCGTAACTTCCGGAGACCTTAAAAGATGACAAAAGGAAACGGCACGTTTTTCAACATATTATACTACCAAATTAGCCTTTTTTTTTTTTACAGAGGTCCCTTTTTTTCCTTCGATTTCTCTTCGCCTTTACGGGCCGCCCTCTGCGCTCGGTTTTCTAAGATCCGAGAACGCCATATACGCAGGTATACCTTCGCGCGAGTCGTGAGCGGCGCGCGGTTGCTTGAAATTCAAGCCGAAACTGCGATGAATCATATACTTATCGATTCAACAGGAGCCCCGCGACCGCCGCGCCGCGCCGCTCCGCTCCTCCCCCCCGCCTCGTGCGCGCGTGTGGAAACCGCGCGAGTGTGGAAAGACGCCTCGCGCGTCTGGCATCACAAAGAATCCACGTCTGGTCGTTCACCAGGGGAAAAGTCTCGCGTTGAAAATGAAGAATCGACACCGTCGTAATTTATTTAACGGCCAGCCACGCCTCGCGCTTGCCAGGCCTCCGCGCCCGAGCGCTCCTAATTATACGTTCCGCGCGTAATCGGAATCGCCGCGCGTGAAGGTAAACGTAAAGCGAGGGGCGTGATTATCCTCCCGACGACGGATCGTCAGAGCGGACATTTTTAACCCCGTCAAACCGATAGAGATCCCACGTCAAGCACGTAATACGTGCTGTCTATTAGCGGCACTAACGATATCATTTACCTCGGTAAATCAGTTAACTTGATAGAGCGGCTAATCTCTCTGGACGCGCGACTTAAAAAATTGAGGAATAATGCCGCCTCGCGCGAACTGCTGGCGCGAAGGGCTCGTCGAAAAAGCTATCTTACCGCCAATTTTCCGCGTGTATTATGACGCTTCCTGTATAATACGATTTCGTATGCATTACGTAAAATGTAAACTACATCGCGCTGAATTGCATTTACATTTTGGACGGGCGGAAAAACTTGACGCGGAGAGGGAGGGGGAGAGGGTGGGAGGGCGCCTACGTTGTTTCCCACGAGAAATTTCGCCGATCTGTCAGACGCGAATATAACAAACTGTCTTCATCCTCCGTTTCTCTCCTCTTTTGCAGAGATACCGAAGAATGAATACAACAACAAGAATCAGTCCACGGGGAACAGTCCAATAAAGGTGGAGCTGCAGAACAACATGGACAGGTAAGACACCGTTTACCGCACAATATTTCTTCTTCCTCCCTCCGTGCCGTGCGGCAGGGAGGTGTCCCCGGATGAATGAATTGGACCGCTGTGGTACGAGTCGAGGAAACTCGTGTTCCGAAAACCGACGTATGATCGAAGATATAAACGCAAACAAGGCGGCCGCGCCGGCCGACTCCTGGCTCTCCCCCGCTTCTTTCTTCGTGCCACTCGAGAGATCCTCATGAATCATCCATTCATTTTTGTCGGTTCGACTCGCGGCACAATGTTTAAACGTGGATTGTCGTACCTCAAGAAAGCGTGCACTTCGCCTGCGCTCGTGACGCTCGCCCATGGAAAATCGCCGGCTTTACGTGCCCTTACGAGGGCCATTCGCCGCAGATCCACAGAGGAACGCGTCGCCGAAACTTGCAAAATCACTGCTGTTGCTGCTGCTGCTGCTACTGTGAGATTCACGTCGTGTTTACGAAGCTGGTAAACCAACTTCTTTCGGTTGCGGGGGGGAAGAGAAAGAGAGGAGAACACGGAATTTGATAACGCGCTACTCTGGGAGCGAACGGAGATTCGAGTTTCTCCGCTTTTACGGTATGCAAATTTGCTAAATGGCATTAACGCGCGGCTCGAAAGTTGAACGAGTCATTTTTAAGAGATTGAATAGAACGATATTGAAGTAATACGAAATGAGAAAACTAATTCGATAACGGCCAATGCTAATTTTCAGTCGATTCGAGTGCGCGATACGATTTTTTTTTATATTGAGTTAATTCGTATATTTTGACATTTGGAATTTTTTTATATCTGACAGAAGCATAAAATACAAGAAACGACGCGATCTGATATTTCTTTTTTTATTTTCGCATAAAATTAATTTTTTTACTTATCTTTATTGAAAACGAAAACAAAAGCGGAATATTCTAAAAATGTAAATGTGATAAAACCGAAGAGCTTAACATTCAAAAACGTAGGATATTTCAATATTGGAACTTTGTAACGAATAAGTCAAACATTCGGTTAAACATTTTCGACATCGGGACTATAAAATGGAGAATTCATAGACCGGAAGTTTCACTCGGGGAAACTCCAAATCGCCCGCTTTTATTTGGTTTGCGCGATAGAAAAAAAATGCGCGTCCAATCCGCGTAGAATCAACAGCGGAAGAGAGGACGCCTGGTAGACGCCGCCGCTTGGTTCTCGTTTTTTTCATTATCACGCGGTGCAACGAAAGCAAACGCGCTTTCCCGCTCGCGCTTCAGAATCCGACGGTTGCGTTTAAATATTTTGGTTAGACATTTGTGAGTTACTTGGAAATGGCGGCGGCGGCGGCGGCGGCGACGGCGGCGGCGGCGGCAGCGTTCAGTACAAACACACTCGAGGGCTGCTGCTTTTCCACGGGGGTATGTAACGAGCGAGAATACATTACGAGTTTCTCGAACGTCACGAGGGAGAGTGAGAGGAAGATGGGGAAGGAGAGGGGGAGAGAGCTAGAGAGAGAGAAAGGGATAGCCGAAACTCCACACTGTACCGAAACTCCGAGAGTTCGGCTGAACGTGCCTGAAAATTGTACCGAGGTGCCGAATTCCTCGGCGGTGTGTTTCTCTAATTACAACGGCGGCGGCGCGGCGCATCCAGAAATTATGCAACGCCGTGTAACGGCGGGGATTCGGATATACGCGGACGCGGCTATCTAACTTTTCGGATAAAACGGCGGAGTAAAGATTAATCTCTGACCGCTAATGAGCGGAGGGATAATGCGCGTGTTAGACGGATCTCCACTACTGTCCGCGGTGGCGGGAATTTAACATGCGGCCGCTACAAATCGACCTTCATCGATTTTCAGAGTACCTTTACCTTACGGGCACGCCCCGTCGATGATCCCGATGAGGAGACAAAGCATCCGCTGTCATTTCCGCAAGGGAATCGATTGGTGCAGCTGGAAACTAATTGCCATAGTAGTAATTATGCTCTCGCTCTGCTTGACCGCGGCATTAACCTACGTCGCAGGTAATTATTCGCATATTGCATTCCGAGCAAATCTTTCTTTGCTCCACGAAATATCTAGATCTTTTACATCGAGCGCGTAATTTTAAGTAGAAATTTAGCTATTAAATTCGTTATTTTCTATTAAATGCAACATTCTTAAACAATGAATATTTTAGATATATTTTTAAAAGACATATTTTAGATAATTTTTTGATTTTCATAGACGTTGCCTGTGAAATTTAATTATAAAGTAATACGAAGTAATACGTGCAAAGTAACATAGCGTTATTTTAAATAAACTAACACCACGTCCAATCCTAATTGATCCCTTATTAAGCGTCCAATTTAGTGAACTGGTCGTACCAAGGCACGAAGGCGTGCACAGTGCTGGTGGGCGAGAACACCGACGCCAAGCCGTCGTCGGGCGAGGCGAACAAGACGTCCACATCATCCACGTCAACGTCGTCGCAGTCGAGCGGCCGGACGCGGCAGCAGTCGTCCTCAGGAGGTAGTATTAGCACGTCGGATAGTATGTTGCTAGATGGTGTCGTATATATATACAACCGCAAGCGTAGGGACACGTTTAACGAGCATGCGTTGCACCAAACTATCGCGCCACCACCACTCTCTCGTGACCCCGAGGAGCTGCCCTTGACCCCGATCGAGGCGGAGACCTCGGGGTCCGGGCAGCGGTCAGTCCCGTTGCATGAGGAGGAGTCTCCTGGTAAGGTTGTGCATGATCCGGAGCATGTGGACAGTCAAAGTCCGGTGAGAGGAGCCATCGACCGCAAGTCGATCGAAGCTGCCGAGGCCGCCGAGGACGCGCCGCCGGAGTCACCGGGATCGACGGCTCTCTCGCGGACGATGCAGCTTGTCGTGAATGTCTCTTCTACCGCTACTAACTACTCGCACGATCGTTCGACTCATACCACTGTCGCCAACGACCATCTCGCCTCTTCGTCCTCTGTCTCTGTCGACTCTGGCAATTCTCTCGCGTCTGCTTCCGTTCGCCAATCACCTCGTAACGAGACGTCCGGCACGAGCCCGCGATCGACGCAAGACGCTTCCGCGAAGTACACCCCGAAGTTCCCGGTCGCCGACGTCGACGTCGACGTCGTCGCCGACGTCGAGACGCAGCGTCGGGATGAGGCGCACGCCGCCTCGAAAGCCCCGATAGCGAAACTCAGCCGCGATGACTCCGCGGATTTCGACCGCGATACCGATAACGTTGGCACGTCCGAAAGTTCGGACATTGTCGAAAGCAGCGGCGACACCGAGGCTACGACGTCTGCATCCGGCGCAGAGTCCGCGAAACTTGGCGCAGATAGCAGCGACTACGGCCAAGTAGTCGGCGGAACTGCAGAAAATGGCAGTAACGTTTTCCCCGTCGATTACAGCGATAATATAGACGATAGCACTGTAGAGCCAACAACCGTAACAGAGATACGCTCGAGCGAGTTAACGCAGGATCAACAATCGAACGTAAGTAATTCTGATTCAAGTGAAGATTTAGTTCCCATAGAAATGAATCGGAAAGAAGTAGACGCTAGCACGGTTTCGCCTAGTACGAGCGTAGATAATAAAACGATGCTTAATGCTCTGCCGAATAAGGGTGAAAACATCGAAAGGCCTATGGAAGATGTAATCGAGATCGAAGATCCTGATGTGTACGAAGAGAAAATTAACTTGGATGAAAATGAGAAATCGGCCATCTCTGCGAAGAACGACGGTAACTCGAGGACGACAAATGTAATCGCGAAATCGCAGTTGTCCGACATCGTGAAAGAAATGCGGGAGCTCTCCAGAGAATTTTCCTCCTCCGAATCCGAAGCTTCATCCAATTTAGCTAAAACTTCCGAACAGTCTGAAGAACTTCAGAGAGACTATCCCGTGCCGATTTACAGCTACGGGCAGGACGAGGTGGAGATCATCAACCTCCAACACAAGAAGCGACCTGTCGAAGCCGCAAAAGTGGAACGCCCTGCTAATTCACCCGAATCCACGATTCTTGACAACGACATAAAGATGAACGTCGCTCTTCGACAGGAACGGCATAAAGACGATTTACGGATCATCGAGAGAGAAAAGAGCGACGAAGAGTTCCTTCGGAATTTCAAAGAGCAGTTCCACGAGGCTGACGAATCTGTTGAAAACTCCCCATCGATTAAGACTAATTATAACTCCCCTCCGACGGGCACCCTGCATGAAACGGTGCATGATTCATCGGGCGACGCATCACCCAGGTTCCCTTCTCGATCCGTTGACCCCCCGTTGACCCAACGGGTGCAGATCGTGGAGGTGCCCGTGTACCGCGATCATTCGCAGCCGTCGTCTTCATCGTCCTCATTCTCATCGCCATCGCATCGAGTGCTCATAAACGTAACGATCGCCACCGAGGATTCGTCCGCCGTTTCCTCGCGGCCGCTGTACGTCCTGTCGGTGTCAGTGCCGACGGAGAGCGGTGCGATTAGCCATTCATCCGGGATTAACGTCGACCAGGCGCAGGTGCGCACGGCCGAGCGGCTATCGGAGCCGTCCGCAGCGAGCATGAAAAAAATCCCTGCTAACGACGACGAGTCGATTGACGCGGTCGATACGCGATTACCGCCACCGCCGCAGCCACCTGCCTCGCCACCGGCGCCGATCTGGGCCGGCGGCGAGTGCGAGTGCTCCTGCCCCTGCATGGGCTCATCCTCTGACGAGTGGGACAACTTTTCAGCGTTGGACGACGACCCCGAGCTCGAGCGGGAGCTCGAGAGCGTTAACTCCGCTCTGTTAGCCGAGAATTCCCCTGAGGTGCCGGGGGAAAGACTGGCGGATAAGAGGGACGGAGAATTATCCGCAAAAGATTCGGTAAGGCCTGACGCGTCTTCCACCACTGAAGACTATTATCCCTCGTCGACAGACGACACCGTACAGAGTGGCGAGTCAACCAGCGAGACCACCCCCGCGTCGACTTACGAGCCGGAAGTAAGCACTGATGCGTGGTCTTGCTCTGGGAGCACTCCGCTACCCCCAGAGCCCACTATACTGATTCTCGAAGGTGAGGCCCCGTTTTCTCTCTTTCTTTCTATAATTGATCTTTCCGAATCACTTCTCTGATTCTCTCTTTCAACACTTCTACTTTCTATTTTCCGTCTTCGCTGATGCTGATGCTCACTTCTTTGCTTGTAGTTTCACTCGTGGTCAAACGCGAGTTTTATGTTAATTTGCCTGTATTGTTGTAGTCATTGTAATGTGTTTTGTGGTAGTGGGTAGTGTATTTTGCATAGATTATAACGGTGATGTAGTTTTAAGTCACTATGATAATCAATTCCTGCACGGAGTGTCCCGATTAACTAGCTGCTGACGATTGTAATCGGCAACAGCTGTGCGCAAGAAAATATGTTTTTTTAAAAGGAAAATAATTTTTATTATGTCATTAATGTAAAATAAGTAGCACTAAAAAAAAATCGGCAATTTATTTAAAAATGAAATAGAGAAGAAATATGTAACGCACGTGAAACACTGACATGCATAAGCATCCATGCTTAGACTCTAGTACATTTCACTTTCAAAAGTGAATTCTCACATCTGTCGGATAATGTAATCCTGATGTTGTATAACTTAATGCCAATTTTATTCTTTTTCTTTTAAAGCCAGCCTGTTTTATACAAATTGCAGTCACTTAATTAGTAGGCAATCGTTTGTTGGCAAATGGATAACACAATTAATTATACTAAAATTACTAATGATCTTCTCGATTTACATTATCCAACGGAAACTCGTGCTTCCCAGTCGTGTGCCACTTCTGATTGCGACTTCGTAACCGTAGGTGCGCGAACCTTTCCGGCGAGGTCTTTCCCGCCCGACGGAACGACCTTCGCTCAGGTCGGTTTAGGGCAGAAGCTCAGCAAGGAGATACCGCCGTACGGCTACTGGAACATGCAGTTTTACCAATCGGAAGCCGCCTACGTTCGCTTCGACTACAGCATCCCGCGCGGAGCGAGCATCGGCGTGTACGCGAGGAGGAACGCGCTGCCCACGCATACGCAGTACGACCTACTGGAAGTTCTCAGCGGTTTCAAGGCACGGACCACCAGGGCGTCCCATGTTAGTGTTGTTGTATGTGCCACTAACCCATTTTTATTTCTTTTTCTTGCGTAACAGGCCCGACAATCGGGTACGGATTGTATTTTTTTTTTCCTTTTTTTATTCCCCCTATCGACGAACACGCGTACGCGATTGGTTCGAGCAGTGACGGTTTAATCACAATTTCCGCATAACTTTCACAGCCCTCGATTAAGAAAGAGGTAACCCAGTATATGGAGCCGGGACATTGGTTCCTTTCGCTTTATAACGACGACGGAGATCCTCATGAAGTCTCGTTCATCGCCGTGATCGCCGAGGATATGACGCACAACTGTCCGAACGGCTGCAGCGGCAAGGGCGAGTGTCTTCTTGGTCATTGCCAGTGCAATCCCGGTTTCGGTGGCGAAGACTGCAGCGAGAGCGTCTGTCCTGTCCTTTGCAGTCAAAGAGGTGAGCTTATCTTACATCATTTTGCTGGCGAAAAATATATCGGTCAAAAATTACTCGATAATCGGCTCTTGTTTGTTTTACTCGTAGTTGTGTAAATGTCGATTTTAAAATAATTTCCATTTTTGTATACGTTGTATATGTATAGATGCATGCATATATGTATTATTATGTGAAATTATTACCATAGAAATATTGAGAAATCTGCGATAATAGGATTCAACCGTTTGGTTAAAATAACATTAAATTGAAATCCGTATTGGAATTTTAATAAACTTCAAAAATCGGTTATTGGTTACGGGTTTGATTAAAATCCTATTGAAATAGAAAGAAATAACGATTGGTAGGTTTTTTAACCGATTAAAAAAAACCAAGTCCGCGCCGCTTCGTTTATTGATTTCTTTTAAATAGAAATCAAAGCCGATTACGTTTTACTCGTTTCAGTATTGCACTTTTGCAAATACGATACATGTTAATTTCCTGGTGCTTGGAAACACCAGTTTCTCCCTCAGTGGCATTCGCGACGCGATATGCAGAGAGCTTGTATTTATTTACTGTGAATAAAATGTAATAACTTAATTTTCAAGAGGAGTACAGCAATGTTTTTATATAAATCTATGCCTCCGATTAATTCAAATGTAAATTTTACTTTGATCAGTTATGACAATTGCATCGCGTCGAACTTTAATCGTTAAAAGTCTTCCATCCGAAATCAATTTCGCGAATCTTGCGCACGTAAATAATTCTCGTTCGCGTCTCGTTAATAAATAATTTTGTCGTCCCGATTTAGGTGAGTACATAAACGGCGAGTGCCAATGCAATCCCGGCTGGAAGGGCAAAGAGTGCTCCCTGCGACACGACGAGTGCGAAGTGCCCGACTGCAACGGCCACGGCCATTGCACCAATGGTAAATGCAACTGTGTACGCGGCTACAAGGGGAAGTACTGCGAGGAGGTCGACTGTCCGCATCCGACTTGCTCGGGTCACGGTTTCTGCGCCGAGGGCACGTGCATCTGTAAAAAGGGCTGGAAAGGAGCCGACTGCAGTCAAATGGATAAGGAGGCACTGCAGTGCTTGCCGGACTGCAGCGGCCATGGAAATTTCGATCTGGACACCCAAACCTGCGTCTGCGAGCCCATGTGGTCCGGTGATGATTGCTCGAAAGGTGAGTAAACGAAAAAACGGACATAATTATGTTGTTAAAAAAGTGTATATCGAGCAAGAAGTAACTCGCTTGTGAATATGTTATTTTTCAACCCCAAAAAGATTAAAAATAAAAAATTATCGCTAGCTATGTTTTATGATATTTAAAAAATTTTCTTTTTTTATTAATTTTTTTCTGATAAATATCTTTTAGAGGATTTGACTACAATTGATTTCATTCTTTGACATTTATCGTGTGCTTTATAAATTCATTTTAAATATTGTAGCGGTCAAAATGTTGAAATTAGCGCTATTGACAAGGATATCTACGTAACATTTAAAATCGACGAAATAATTGCGATATGAAATTGGGTCAAAAATATCGATCGTACGTTCGTATTTTCGGCGAACTGACGATTCCTATGTTTCTAGGTTTCTGGATGGTGGCAGAATACTTACGAAGTAATTTTTACGAAAACTATTCGATTAACTGTCCACTTTTCTAGATTTCCTCCCCCCCCCCCTCATTTTTCATAGCTTCGTTTACTTGTCGGACGATCATCGCTTTGCTTCTGAGTGTCCGCTTCGAGACTAACATACTTTCGTATTCCCGAGCACTTCAAAACCGTCGTTTTCAAAGCCTTTCTCGCTTCGCCGTGTTTCAGAACTGTGCGATCTTGATTGCGGCCCTCACGGGCACTGCGAGGACAACGCCTGCGCTTGCTTGCGTGGCTGGTCCGGCGAGCTGTGCAATCTGAAGGAATGCGATCACCGCTGCAACGAGCACGGACAATGCAAGAATGGCACGTGTCTATGCGTCACCGGATGGAACGGAAAACACTGCACGATGGAGGGATGTCCAAATTCCTGTTCCGGCCACGGACAGTGCAGGGTATCGAACGACGCACAGTGGGAGTGTCAGTGCTATAGCGGTTGGGATGGCAAGGATTGCAGCGTGCTCTTAGAACAAAATTGCAACGACGGACGAGACAACGATAAAGGTATAGTATAAAAAAACATGATTTTATTTTTTTACTTTAATATAAAATGAGAGAATCTTAATTTTCATTCGTATACTACACAATATCTCACAGATATAATCCGTTTAATTAAAGTTAAACAATGAAAAAGGTAAAGGAAAATTAAACTGACGGATAAAGTGGCATGCCAATTGGAATTATAGACCTTTCTGTTCGTTCAAAATATTCATTTTTCGAATATCTATTCGAAATGCAATCGTCCGAAACTGTGAGATCAATATTTTTACCTTGCGACTTTAATGGAAAATAATATCATCTTTTAGATGGTCTTACTGATTGCGCCGATCCGGAATGTTGCGCCAATCACATATGCCGTACCAGCCAGCTGTGCGTTTCAGCTCCTAAGCCAATCGATATATTACTACGGAAACAGCCGCCCGCCATCACCGCATCCTTCTTCGAGAGAATGAAGTTCCTAATCGACGAGGGCAGTCTGCAGAACTACGCTCGCCAGGAGACCTTCAACGAGAGGTAAGTTTGCCGTCAATCGTCGCGAGACTTTCCCCTCTCGTCCTTGCGACCAATGTCATCGTCATGGTCCTCGTCGTCAGCGCGTTGAAATCGTTAGCGAAAATTGTCCGTCCCGATGTCGATGTTGCGTCTACCAGTCTGCGTGTCTCTGAGTAAAGAAACGAAATAGGAATCTCAATACACACATATGCGCGATTACGAGAAAATGGCAGCATTTTAATAGGAACGCATTAATCATTGACGCTGTACAGAGTATCACAAATTCACCACATTTTCTTTTAGATGTAGATTTCTTAAACAATATCGAAATCAATTTTTTTCTTGGCACAAATTTTTATTAAACGTTAGTTTTTAAGAGTTTTTTATGACGATTTTTATATAAAATTTAAAAAAGCATTCTCGCGCGCGACGAAATAGATTTTATAACTCAAAATTTGATTTTCTTCAAACTTATAAGACTTCCCAGATTTCCAATAGCTCGCGGCTCGAAAATTATTGATGCCCTCGTTATTAAGGTCACATGTATTTCAAATTAGGCAAAGGATCCGTATGGCAAAGGAAGTGCATGGGGGAGAGCCTGTGTAAAGCGTGAATCGCGAAGGTCGAGAAAGTTGCATGCTCGACGGGACGACTAAAGGTTATTAATAATACGAATATACGGTCCCTTTGACTCGAGCCGGGAACCGAATCGGTTGAAAGATTAGTCGGGCAAAGCCGATCGATTTCTATTTTTAACTAAGCGGGAAGAAGCGCGCACACATAGAGTAGGGGGTCCCAGCTCTCTCGCAGGGACCCGGTAATCTTTAGCTGCCTCTGCGCGCATATTACAAGATACACGCATACCCCCTTGTACATCTCTTTCTCTCTCTTTCTCTCTCTCATGTACACATATATATCACCGACGGTAACAGACACGAGGATGCATATATACATAGATTTCAATATATTATATCTGCGTTGTTGTGACCCGTGTGAAATCACATCCCAACAGTTTTCTACATATGTTTTGTACGTACGTGTGCGCGAGCGTGTGCCCTGCACTGGAACCCCCCCTCCCTCCCCTTTTCTCCCCTTTGGCCCTCGTCTCCATCAATCTCAATTTCTCTTTCTCTCTTTCATTCTCTTTCTCTGTCTACCCCGATCTTTATCGCAGTCCCTTACGATCTATCTATCGGTATATCAATCCAACCCCTCCCCCCCCCTGTTCTTTCGATACTTTCTCTTTCTCTCTTTCTCATGTCCGTCCGAGTGGAGCTTGCGTGAATGTGTGAGTCCATGTTTAAGCCTCGAGCTTTTCGCTCATCATGCCGGCTAAGGGGGTGGGAAGGGGATACAATAACCGGACAGTTTTTTCTCCCCGACGCGTCGGGTCCATTGGAAGGGACCGGCAAATTCTAGTAATCCGGAGACGCGACGTATCGAAATTCTTCGTAAAAGCGGAAAGTTTTCCTCAGACTCTTCTATATTTTTATCCTTCGCCTCTGAAAATCCTTTGATACTTTTTTTTCTTCCTCTCTCCCTCTCTCTCCCGACCCGCGTCCTCGGTCCTCCACGCCCCCCCTCCTCTTCCTATTTTCGCCTTTAATCGCATCATTTTAACTCGGCTCTGTTTTATCCGTGCTGCCCGGTCAGTATGTTCTGGAATCACTTCAACACAAGGTAAGAAAAACCAGACGTCGATAAAGCTCGACTTAAATGAACGAGGATCCGTAATAAGATCCGTCGTAGCGGTATATAAAAGAATCTGCTGCTGTTTGATAATATTTTCGTGCATTTGGTATCTCTCACGTATCTGTACATAAAATACATCCTGCATCCTGATCGCGACGAGCCGTGCGTGTGTGCGTTCGACTGCGCTTGAGAAGCCTGACCTCTCTCGATTTGATTGAATCTCAGCAGGTCTCCTTGGATCATATACTTCTGCATCTCGCATTTAGAGTATCAATTGTTTCCAGGGCGGTAAAGGAACTTGGATATCAAGAATTATGAGCATCAGGAGAGAACGTCTATTGTTCTCGCTAATGCGTACGATATCTTACGGTTTCTTTCATTGACTTGAAAGCAATGGGATATTATGGCAAACCGGTGAAATGCGCCGTTCACGTAGTATACGATCTAAGAGTCTCTATCTCGACAGTTGGAGCACATTCCACGATCGTTCGAGCTCGCACTTCATCCTCCGTTGTTGTTGAACACATTCTCGTGTTGCATGGTTCAGTTACCTTTTGATTCCTACGTTGTGTTTCGTGCCTTTTACGTTGAGCTTCCGACTTTGTGTTATTCGTGTATATAAATATATATATATCTATATATATTGACTGTACTTATATAAGTAGTGACTTGTCCTCGACCATTATGCTCCAGTGCCAAAGAGGCACGACTGTTAAAGGCTCGTCTGTCATACACTGTATTCCGTTGCTCGTTTAAAACTATAACTGGCAACTACAGTTTCTGACAGAGATCCGAGAAAATCAAAAAACGTCCGAAACATCAAAATGAAAAAGAAAAGAGAGAAACGCATCGATCGAGTTCGCCGTTATTTCGTGCAGCGGACAATCAAAGAATCGAATGATTCCTCTTTAGCACTGAGAAGCAAAATTGACGAAAGTACATCACATTCAGTTTTGAATATTTAACATATCTGCATACGCGATTGGCGATTAACGCCCGATATCGAGATATTTTTTAACCGGCGAAAGGATTCTGTCACATACACATAAAATGGACGCACGTTATCCTTCGATGCAAATTCACTCTCGATTGCCCCTGTCTTTTTAAACGCCCGTGAGGAACGCAGTTTACGTTTAATTATAGCGAATCTCCCCATCACAGATATCGAACCGTGGATCAATCTTAAAGATCTATTCTTAAAGTTACTTGGGCCCAAGGTCTTCTGCATCCCTAGTTTATCATCGTCTTATTTTAACAGATATTTACTCTATAACGTATAATTGAAAAGAAAATATTCCTAATTTTCTTAATTAATAGTAAAAAGAAGATATTTCCCCCAATTTTCTTATTAACAGATTTTACACGTCACTATTATCATTTACGATTTTACGAAGTCACAAAAAAGGCACGCGTTTAATTTACTTGTCAGACAAGCCTTACCTTTTCTTAACGAAACTTTGAAATCAGGCCTTTCATTAGGCGTTATCAAGTGACAGTATCTTCTCGTTGGTGTTCACTCTGAAGAGGAGATTATCCGACGGGTGTGAACAGTAAAATGTAGTAGATTGAGATTAGCCTAGAGAATAGCGATTGCTTTGTTGGTAGTGTACGACGAAGCACACAAAGAAATGATTTAGATACTATTTTACTCGCTCGCGAGCTTCCTGCGATTAACACGGTCGTTGTCTAACAGCCGATCGGCAGTCATACGTGGACGCGTTGTCACGCATCTCGGCACGGGATTGATGGGAGTGCGGGTCAGCACCAGCACGCCGCTGGAAGGCTTCACCCTCACGAGAGACGACGGCTGGTTCGATCTACTGGTGAACGGCGGCGGTGCCGTAACTTTGCAATTCGGCAGGTCACCCTTCAAGCCGCAGAGCCATATCGTCTTCGTGCCTTGGAACGAGGTGAGCTTGAATTTCTCACGACGATAATAAATTCATCGCGTGACTTAAGAACGCCTTATATTCATATTACGGTTAAAAGACAAGATAACGAAGGTGTTCATTTGTTTCGCTTTAGGTCGTCATCATCGACAAGATCATTATGAGCACTGCCGAGGAGAAGCCACCCATACACGTTCCTCATGCGTGCGACATTCACGATTACGATCGCATGAAGCCGGTCGTCCTGGCGACCTGGAAGCACGGATTCCAAGGTGCCTGCCCGGACAAGAGTGCCATCTTGGCGGAGTCGCAAGTCATACAGGAGAGCTTGCAGATACCCGGAACGGGCCTGAATCTGGTGTATCACAGCTCCCGTGCGGCCGGCTACCTCTCCACCATACAACTGCAGCTGACTCCGGAGAATATCCCGCAGACGTTGAAACTGATACACTTGAGGATCACGATCGAGGGTATACTCTTCGAGAAGATCTTCGAGGCCGATCCCGTTATCAAGTTCACTTACGCCTGGAATCGCCTCAACGTTTATCGCCAACGTGTCTACGGAGTGACGACCGCCATGGTCAAGGTCGGCTACGAGTACAGCGATTGCAAGGACATCATCTGGGACGTGCAGACGACGAAATTGAGCGGTCACGACATGTCTATTTCGGAGGTCGGCGGTTGGAATCTGGACATTCATCACAGGTATAACTTCCACGAGGGTATCTTACAAAAAGGAGACGGCTCGAACATTTATCTGAAGCACAAGCCGAGAGTCATCCTCACCACGATGGGAGACGGTCATCAAAGGCCGCTGGAATGTTGGAACGAGTGCGACGGGCAAGCTTCCAAACAGCGTCTCTTAGCGCCCGTTGCTCTCGCCACTGCTGCGGACGGCTCCATCTTCGTCGGTGATTTCAATCTAGTCAGGAAGATCCTCGTCGATGGAACAGTTAGAACTGTGGTCAGACTAAAGTGCGTATTTATTCTATTTAAACGATAATTCTTTATAAAATTCTTTCGTTCTTAAAAATTTTTAATTAAATTAAATTTTTATTTTAGCGCAACCAGAGTATCATATCGTTATCACATCGCTTTGAGTCCTCTGGAAGGCACACTCTACATATCGGATCCAGAATCCCATCAGATCATCCGCGTTCGCGACACCAACGACTACACGGATCCCGAACATAATTGGGAGACAGTAGTCGGCTCCGGGGAACGTTGTCTTCCCGGCGACGAAGCTCACTGCGGCGACGGTGCTCTCGCGCGAGACGCTAAACTCGCTTATCCCAAAGGCGTCGCCGTGTCTGCGGACAACGTTCTGTACTTCGCCGACGGCACGAACATCCGAATGGTCGACAGGGACGGCATCATCACCACCGTGATCGGCAATCACATGCACAAATCGCATTGGAAACCTATACCCTGCGAAGGCACATTGAATGTCGAGGAGGTCCATCTTCGTTGGCCAACCGAATTGGCGATCAATCCTCTGGACAACTCGCTGCACATAATCGACGATCACATGGTCCTCCAACTGGCGCCGGACGGTCGCGTTAAGGTCGTCGCTGGCCGTCCACTTCACTGCGCCTCGCCGTCGGCCTCGTACGACACGGAACTCGCGACTCACGCCACTCTGGTGATGCCGCAGAGTATCGCGTTCGGTCCGTCGGGCAATCTCTACATCGCCGAGAGCGACTCGCAGAGGATCAACCGCGTTCGCGTGATCGGCACCGACGGCAAGATATCGCCGTACGCCGGCGCCGAGTCCAAGTGCAACTGCCTGGAGCGTGGCTGTGACTGCTTCGAGGCCGATCATTATTTGGCATCCACCTCTAAATTTAACACCATATCCGCTGTGGCGGTCTCCCCCGATGGAGTAGTGCACATCGGCGACCAGGCCAATTACCGAATTCGCTCGGTGACGGCGAGCATTCCTGACGCGAGCGGTGCACGAGAATACGAAATCTATGCGCCCGACACACAGGAGATCTACGTGTTCAACCGGTTTGGACAGCACATCGCTACGAAGAACATTCTGACCGGCGAGACCGTGTATCTTTTTACATACAATGTCAACACCAGCAACGGTAAACTCAGCACAGTGACGGACGCGGCTGGCAACAAGGTCTTCTTGCTTAGAGATTATAGCAGTCAAGTAAATTCAATCGAGAACACGAAAGGGCAAAAATGCAGATTGAGAATGTCCAGGATGAAGATGTTGCATGAGTTGAGCACGCCCGATGATTACAACGTCACCTTCGACTATCACGGACCCACCGGCTTACTGAAGACAAAGCTCGACAGTACCGGACGTAGCTACGTTTACAATTACGACGAGTTCGGTAGGTTGACAAGTGCGGTGACTCCCACGGGCAAAGTGATCAGCTTAACGTTCGATCTAAGTCTGAAAGGTGCCGTAGTAAAAGTCGGGCAGAATAATAGGAAACCTATCTCAATGTTGATCAAAGGATCGTCCGTCGTCACGAAGATCGGAGAGGCCGAACAGAGGACGATAGTTCTCGCGGATGGTTCGGTCGAAAGAGTGACACCATGGGCTCATACTGTTAGCACCGACTCGATGCCATATTCGATCCTGGCAGAGATCGAGCCACTGCTAGGCGAGAGCTATCCCGTGCCAGCTAAACAGAGAACGGAGATCGCCGGGGATTTGGCTAATCGCTTCGAATGGCGATACTTCTTACGAAAGATCCAAGGAAGTAAGAATCGCGGTAACACGAAGGCGATCGCCCAGGTCGGCAGGAAGCTGCGTGTCAACGGCGAGATCCTGCTGTCTCTCGAGTACGATAGAGAGTCGAATACCGTGGCCGTGTTCATGGATGATCGGGTAGAATTGCTGAACGTTACGTACGACAGAACGGCCAGGCCGGTCAAATGGGGACCAAGAAACGGTATCTTTGCCGGCGTCGAGCTGGAATACGATCGATTCAGCAGATTGACGAGCTGGACGTGGGGTGACATTAGCGAAACTTACGGCTTCGATAGATCAGGCCGATTATACGAGATTAAGTACAGCGACGGCACGTCGATGGTGTACGCTTTCAAGGATATGTTCAGCATCCTACCGTTGAAGGTCACTACGCCGCGCGGAAGCGATTATCTTCTTCAGTACGACGAAGCGGGAGCGTTACAGTCGTTGACTACACCAAGAGGACACATACATACGTTCTCTCTTCAAACTTCTTTCGGATTTTACAAGTATCAGTACTATTCGCCGATGAACAGACATCCTTACGAGATCCTTTACAACGACGACGGTCAGATTCTCGCCAAGGTGTATCCCCATCAAAGTGGAAAGGTCGCTTACGTCTACGATCATGCTGGGAAACTCGAAACCACACTTGCCGGTAAGTGGCTCTTTCTAATATAATACTGTTAACATAATATTTGTTTTATTATTTTTAATTGAATTTTACTAGATGCAATTAAAATAAATTATTGTTCGTTTTCGCTTAACTTGTAAAACGTTATAAAAGTGTTAAAAAACAATTGGTTAATCGCAAATCTCTTTTCCTAGGACTCTCTTCGATACATTACACCTATCAAGAAATAACAAGTCTGGTGCGCAGCATTGACATCAACGAGCCGAACTTCGAGATGCGCATCGAGTACAAATATCACGCCGGCATCGTGAAGGACGAGAAGATCAAGTTTGGCAGCAAGAGCGGCATGGATAACGCTCATTACCGTTATCAGTACGACGGCAACGCGCGCATATCCGGCATCGAGGTCGACATCAACGGCAAACAGCTACCTCAGCTTCGTCTCAAGTACAACCAGAATCTCGGGGTACTAGAAGGCGTCAGCGATCTCAGGATATATCGAAATCTCTTCAACAGATCGGTCATGCAAGATAGCAGCAAAAATTTCTTCACGATCACGGATTACGACGAGCACGGACGCGTCAAAACCGTGCTGACGAACATCCGTTCGTTCGACGTGTTTCGCATGGAGCTCGAATACGACAATCGCAATCGCATCAAGATGAGAAGGCTCACGATTGGAAAGGAGTCGATGGAGAAGAAGGAGTGGTCCAGAATGGAGAAGATCACGTATAACGCAGACGGCCACGTACTGGAAGTAGCAGACACGGAGAACAATTGGCAGTACGCGTACGACGAGAACGGTAATGTGATCGGCGTGACCGAACATAACGAGAAGATCGTCTTGGGCTACGACAGCGGCGATCGAGTGGTCCAGTACGGTGACGTTGAGTTCAATTCGTACGACGGACGCGGCTTTGTCGTGATTCGCGGAGAGCACAAGTACAGGTATGTATTTTTTATTCTCAGTCAATTTAAAATATAAAATTAAGATTTGTTTTCTTTCTGCTTCTAAGATGTAAATTTTTTCATTAGAGTAACTAAAATTATGTAAAATTACATATAAAAAAAACTATTCTTTTCCGAGCGAATTTTGCTCAAAGTTATTTTACGAAACGTCGATTGAAAAATACCGAAAAATATTGTTCTAATAAATGTATAATGTGCTATATTTTTTTTTTTTCCTCAGATACAACTCGCGCGGCCAGCTGATTCACGCATCGGAGCACAAGAAATTCCAAATCTGGTACTTCTACGATGACCGTGGTAGATTGGTATCCATGAACGACGACCGAGAGAACATCACTCAGTTCTTCTATGCGAATCCAAAGACTCCGGATCTGATAACGCACGTGCACTTCCCGAAATCGTCCAAGACGTTCCGGTTCCTTTATGACTCGCGCGATTTTCTGATAGCCGTGGAGACGTCCGAGCAACGCTTCTACGTCGCGACGGATCAGAACGGCTCGCCTCTCGCTCTCTTCGACACCAACGGCAATCTCATCAAGGAGATGCGGCGCACCCCGTTCGGCAAGATCATTAAGGACACCAATCCGGACTTCTATCTGCCCATCGATTTCCACGGAGGTCTCTTCGATCCTAACACCAAGTTGATCTACCTGAACAAGAGGCTCTACGATCCGACTGTCGGTCAGTGGATGACGCCAGCTTGGGAGCAGATGGCCAACGAGCTCACTACACCTACCGACATTTTCATCTATCGCTTCCGCAATAACGATCCGGTCAACTTTAAGCAGAACGTCGAGTACATGACGGATTTGGGAAGTTGGCTGAAGCTCTACGGCTACGACATCTCGATGATGCTCGGCTCCGAGTATACGAAGCAAATGGTGTACCAGCCGAGCGCGACTGTCACATCCCCGCAGCTGACTCCGGACTTCGGCGTGATGTCCGGTCTGCAGTGCATCGTGAATCGTGTGCAAGAGAAATTCTCCGACCTCGGTTTCGTTCCCAAGCCGTTGTTGAAATTGGAACCGAAGACACGGAATCTGCTGCCGCGAGTGGCACATCGTCGGGCGGTCTTCGGCGAGGGTATCCTGGTGTCGCGCGTCGGCGGTCGGGCTCTGGTGAGCGTGGTGGACGGCGTGAACAGCGTGGTGCAGGACGTGGTGACGTCCGTATTCAACAACTCGTACTTCCTGCCGTTGCACTTCAGCGTGCACGACCAGGATGTTTTCTACTTTGTCAAAGACAACGCGCTCAAGATTCGCGACGACATGGAGGAGCTCCATCGGCTCGGCAGCATGTTCAACGTGTCCACGCACGAGACGACGGAGCACAACGCGGGCACGTGGAAGGAGCTGAGACTTCACAATCCGGACGCGGCCGTGGTGATCAAATACGGGGCCGATCCCGAGCAGGAGCGGCACCGTATTCTGAAGCACGCGCACAAGCGAGCCGTCGAAAGAGCTTGGGAGATCGAAAAGCAGCTGGTGATGGCTGGTTTCCAAGGTAGGGGCGACTGGTCGAAGGAGGAGAAGGACGAGCTCGTCAGCCGCGGGACGGTCGACGGCTATGAGGGCGTCGACATCCACAGCGTGCACAGGTATCCCCAGCTCGCCGACGATCCCGGTAACGTCGCGTTCACCCGCGACACCAAGAGGAAGAGGCGGAAGAGCGGCAATAGGCGTAGCAGGACTCACAGGCACGACTCGTGATTCGAGGACACCACGACGCGAGTTCGAAACATCGCTTGGGACTTGATTCGTGCGTGAATTTGAGAAGCGAGTACGATGGAACGGGAGGGAAACGGAGCAACGCGTCGATAGAAAAATCCTACCGCCGCGAAATTGCGTTAAAGCTGCAATTTACGCGGGCGGTCAGGCGACGTCGCTCCCTTTCTGTCCTCGAGCCTTCTCTCAGCCTCTTCTCCCCCCCCGCGCTCGTCGTCGAGACGCGTTAATCTACCACGAGCGACCACGGACGCGTCCCGTGTCCGGTGCAACCTATCCCGTCGATGTGCCATAAGCGCGTTCACGCGATCGTGATCTATCCTAGATTCCTAGATCGATCAATCGTGCGTGCGAAGACGGCGGGTATGGGAAACGGATCGCGAAGTGTCAAAATTAAGCTAGTCGCATTATTAACGAAATGAAAAATATAAAGCTTGTTACACATGGTGATTAGTTTATAGAGAAGGCAAAGAGACACGAGGGAGAGGGAAGGAGAGAGAGAGAGAGAAAGAGGTGATGAAAATCGACGCGTGGAAGTATGACAAAAATGCGTGCGTGAACTTTCAAAGTGCCGTCCGCGACGAAATCCGATAGTGTTTTCGCGAAAAGGAGGGAGTATAGAGAGTGTGTCTTGGACTTTTTCGGATCGTTGATCGAGTATTCGAGCTGATGTCATTCAACAGGGTCTACAAGACACGCGTAGGCACGCACGCGGGAGCGAGGTATCTCGAGGTCACCGCGTCGAAGTCGGAAGATGCGGGGCGAGAGGATAATTTTCAATACAAAAAAATAATAATATGCCAACGTTCTTCGAACGTCCAGTTATCTGACACTCTCGTCGGGATGCTCTCACCTCGCATCTCTGACCGAGACGTATCCATCCCGAGGATGGATATGTCTGAACAAACTGTCCGTGGACGTCGTTATAGATCGCGTCGCAGAACGTAGGAAAAGCGAGAAAAAGAGAGATTGAGAGAGAGCGAGAGCGAGCGAGAGAGAGAGAGAGAGAGAGAGAGAGAAAGAGACAAAGGAGAGCAGATATACAGCAGATATTTTTAACAAGGCGCAAATTGGTGTACTAGATGCGAGACAAGCAATTGTAAATATAGCTACTCGAACTCTTAATGGTAAATGTAGATAAAATATCGTAACGCGCGAGAACGATCGTAAACTCAAGTGGAACTGTCGATACCGCTTTTTTATATGTATACAAAGAAAGAACGTGACACATACACATACATACATACGCGTGAAAGGTATAGGAATTTAATTGTGCCCCCGTGATATACTCGAACGCAAGAAATGGGGTAAGTCGCGAAGTTATATCGGACGCGTCGCGATCTTTTCGGTAAAAAAAGAAAAAAACTAAATAACGTGAGGGAGATTCTATCGGGAGAAAACGCGACGTTCGCACGGTTCACGTGAAATCGCGACACAGGCCTACGCACGATTGACACACACGTAAACACATTATCGCTTCGAATCGGCCGGATGTTATAGCATGATCGGTAACGTTATCTCCTTGATTCTGCTGGCTTACGTGCAAACGCGTAACAGAATGAACCGAGTGTAAATGCGGCGTCTGAAATCGAAGTCTATCAAGTCCTTTAAGGTCCATAAAAACTTAATTTATTTTTAAAATGTAATTTTTTTTAAATATTTTTATAAAGTAAGTTTGTGGAATTTTTCACAATATGTCAAGCAAGTGGAATGAGACACGCTATTATCTCCAATAATAAAATTAATAATCAATGTGAAAAAGCTCTTAATACGAAGTATTAGCAAATTGACGTTCAGAAAATGATCGAAAGTGATCAATTTCACCGGCTCGGAATTGTTGCACTGCCCCATTTAACAATCCAATTATCTCACTTGAGCTTTATAGATAGATTTCAAACTTGATGAATTTTGATCGTGGTTGCCTGAGGTATGAGCGAATCTACCGATTTGTCGTAGACAACGTAGACATGTGTAAATAGGTATCGGTATCACGGTAAACGTGTAAGAATTATCGCGGCGTGATGTCGTCACGTATTAAAAAGCGACGTGACACGACGTGACGAGACGAGTGACAGTCGTAACGGGATGCGTCGAAGTAATAATGTCCAGAAGAAATAATAATATAATAAAAATAATAATACGATAAGTAATAAGAATAATAGAGTAAAATAATAATAATAATAATAATAATGCAAGAAAAAACGATAATATTACCATTGTACGGAAAATGCCCCGCCTATCTTTCTACTAAAAATGAAAAATTATTTTTTGAATTGTGTCGTCGAAGAAGTCCTATGTAACCGTGTGTATGTGGGATCGCCCTGTGAAAAAGAACCTCACCCCCGCGCTCCACCGAAGAGAGCATCCCGGCAAAAAATAGTTGGATTAACAAGAATCGATGTATGCAGAGAGATTCGTTTCGTCAAGTTATAAATTCTTAATCCTCAAAATATAGGGAATTGGTTTTGCGATGTGATTGAATTCTTTCCCATAGCCCGTAATACGTATTCATTCAATTCTTATTGGGGGAAAAAAAATTGGAAATTTTCACGAAACGTTAAAATACGAAATTCTCCTTTATACAGAATTAAATTTTACATTGCAATAATTTCTCTCCTTTTTGTAAATTACGATACCAAGTACGTTTGATTTTTTTGAACACAATTTTAAGACCAATCTCCTTAGCTTTGAAGATCAGGCATTTCAGCGAAATAAATTTCTTTCGATTCATCTTAATTCACCTATCTTTTACAGGGCACAACCTTAGCCCCTCCTCTCTGTAACTGATATAGCTGAACTCGTCGGTGTTTATCAATATTGGGTAAATAAGAAAAAAAAAAAGTAAAAAGTGTAGAGGTCTGTGGTTCAGGTCGAATGAAGTAACCGACTAATAGAAAGTAAAGAATGCAAAAAAAAAACGAATAACGCATAAAATATATATATTATATATATATTAATATATATATTGTATAGGGGGGTACACGGTGGTGAGCCAACGTGCGAGCCCACGCCAGCTCCACCACAATGTGTTCCACGTAGGCGATATATATATAATTAAAAGGAAAAAATAAAAATACATAATCATACCTACAAACGTACGTATTAGTTGACGAGTTAACGTGGAGTTTAGCGAACGATTAAGGGAATGTGCTAGTGAACCTTACAAATAACATCGCTGTACATATCTGTTGTGTATAGCCGACAACACGCCACTGTCCCGCGAAAGTAGTCTTCACGTTCTCGCATCACAAAAGATTTTCTACGAAATCGCAAGGTTTTTAGCGACGGAGCCTCGATTGATTTACGACACTTAGTTTTCATGTGTGTACAATATATATTTTTAATTCCACATCAAAGTTACAAAAATTCTAAGTTATATCTCTCTCGCATGCATCACTTTTATGAAGAAATAGATAAATTGGTAGGAAAATCGTGTATATTTTATATCGTAAAAATATCGCCCACGCCGCTTGGATTCTTGTTATTTCGCGACGCGTTCCGTTCGAATATTTCTTGATTTTGGCAGATTCTTTTTGCCCTCTTCGGAGGGGAGCCCGAGGCTGGACGAGGCATATCGATCTGTGATTCATTCCATATGTCAAACCGTCGGCGGCAGAGGCAAAATTTTATTTTCCTCCGTATAAATAGAGTAAGGAGAATTCAGTAGCTTTGACGCGGAAAATTGCTCAGCCATCAAAGCCTCGGGACCCGGGCTTTAAATACACAGCGCCTCGCCTACATTAACTCCTCGAAACCGTAGTTAAATTACTTCAGAGCGAATCCTCTCCTTAATATCACTGTGATCTCGAGCAAGTGATTTTCATTGTCGCCTCACGTACCCGGCACGTGTTACGTTGAATCAATATTGGAGAGATGGAAATTATTTGCTCAAGATTATAAAAATACGGCGGTGGAAATAGTAATCTTTCGATCCCCTCGGTAACTAAAGGGTTCAGCTTCTCATCCAGCACAAACACGCGACACGATTGAGAAAAGCTGACGACCGAGAACATTGTTCAAAAATGCGTTTTAACTCGTTAATATCACTTCTAGAATTCCGATGCGTTAACTCGAGAGAGAAAAAAGGTCTATTTTTTGCCGTGGAAAAAAAGGTGAAGAGTTTCAAAATTTCTGGCGCGTCATCGTCGTTGGACGATTTAAAGCGGATATATCTTTAAAGTAATAGAATAAGGTCTCCTCGACGATGTTCTCGTACGTCGCCTTGGTCGTCGCGCGTGTCCCTTCGATATTGCGTTCTTAATCGTCTTCTCGGCTCTGACGAGTACGAGGGGACCACGCTTTTGTAGCGCTTGTTACTGAGTTGTCCATTAACACGCCGTTATTCGACACGCGCGCATTGTAGTTCGTAGAGACGCTCAGCATGCAGCAGCCGACCTCCCCGCCGTCACCGGCCGGGCGGACGCTGCAAGCGGTTTTCTATGTGTGCTCGTCTACTTGCAAAAAAAAAACGATACGTAAAAACGGGAGAGAGAAAAAGAAACAGAAAACGATACGATATGTTTAGGAAAGAAACAAGTCCTGTACTCGAGTTAACTTTACGCTTAGCGCATGTTTCCTTCGAGCGCAAGAGCCGCGGGTCAGTTCCCGTCCTCCCTCTCGGTTTTTCCCTCTCGGCGCTTTTATCCACGCACCCCACAAAACGGACGTGTGTGTGCGACAATTCATTCCCGCCGAATTCACATAAAATAATCGGACACGTTATTATTATATTGTAAAGAAGAATATTGAAGTGTCAACTTACTCAGCGAATTTAGTAAAATTCTGAACATAAGTATATATGTACAATTTCTCAAGAGATAAACTAAATCTTACGTGGCGTCCGTTAAAAGCGCGATCTTGCTTCTTCGATTCCCAATGTTTCCAAATGGATCTCCAGGAAAATCTCCGAATTTACGCCGGGAGATTCTCGAGAAACCCGTGATACATGTTTATGCCCGAATGCGAATCCCAAATACCTCGACATAGAGCGGGAATCGAAGGATCGAGGGAAGGAGTGGAGGAAGAACGGAGGGCGCGCGGCTCGTCGTGCGGGAGGGTGCAAAATTTATTATTGTTACGCCGGATCGCGGTCGGCAGGCGCGATCGACACGCGAATAAGGAGGAAAAAAAAGCAATACTTCGTAACTATCGTGTATGTCTTTGGACGCCGTTAAAAGTCCGGCGGTAGTAATCGAGGGACGACGATAATATGTCAAAAGTGAGGTGAGCGTGAGGAAGGATGCGTGAGAAGCTAAAAAAGAGAGAGCGTGCGCGAGCGCGTGAGAGAGAAAGAGATATATATAAATTAATATATATATATATATATAAATATATAAATATGCGAGTTGCGTTATAATGATAATTACTGCGAAGGGAAAGAAAGGAAGTACGTGCGCTTTTCTCTTATTATATATATATATACCTACATATATATATATATATATATATGTATGTATGTATATATACATATATATATATAGCGCAAGAGAGACACCGCTCGTCGGACGCGCTCGTCGCGCTTCTTTCTATACGCCACCAAGAAATTGCGGCGGTCGCGTGATATTTCGTTTTGTACATATTAATACGACCGAAAGAGAATGATTATATCGTTCCGTTCCGCTGACGACGGAGCGCTTCTCGTGGCCCCGCGACCGTTTACGTCACGGAGTCTTCGCGACACTTTGGATACGGTGTCTACGAGTCAACGTGAACTACGAGATCCTCGGAGATCCTTCATTCTGTATACGCGTGTTGTATGTAGGTACACGTTTTTCGTTGCAATCGTTTTTCGCACACGTGAGCTTGGCGCGCGCGTAAGAAATCTTCGAAAGGTCCAAAACAGAGAGCTCTACATCCTAGGAGTGGAGAATCACACGTGTTGCGAGAATTTTTATTCTAGACTTTTAACGAATCTCATTTAAATGCTCGATTTAAAGCACCTTACCGTATCCGAAGCGTCGCGCGGAGCTTCCATTATCGCTCGCGGACGGCGAGATGAAGAAAAGAGAGCTGCTACGTAAAAAAAAAAAAGAAAAGAAAAGCCACAATCGTACGCGACATTGATGTTGTTAATTAGGGTACCTACAATTATCCGTAGCGATGGTAGTTTCGTACACCCGTGCCCGCAAAAGAAAAAAAAAAGGAAATCATCTCACCGTAGCGACCTTTATACTTTCATATAAAGACGACGGTCAATTTGTACACGGAGGAGAGGAAACGAAAGAGAGAAGTAAAAAAAAATTTTACTTGGCATCTATTCTTGGCATTGGCGTGACGGTGAACGCGGCTCGGGAGTCCCGGACACTCGGAATCCTCGCGAGGGACTCGAACGGCGAGCCGGCGATCACCGGCACGGCCGATTTACACAAACGCTCGCCCGTTCGTCTGTACTTTACTTTCCGTTTTTTCGTGAAACTTGTACATATTAATTGCGATCATTATGTAAATATCTTGAACACACACATGTAAACACGCGCGCACGTGCCCGCGCGCGCAAGGTTTATTTTAAAGACTACATCATGAGGTATATATATATGTATAAATATATGTACACCACATATATGTGTATATATATATATATATATTAATACATATATATATATTGTGACGGGACGTCCCTTTTTGGACCGTCCGTCACAAGGGTTCTACGGACCCGACCGCGGGCGGTGGTTTCGAGTCCTGCGTCCTTCCGATTTTCGGAGGCGGACGCGTGGCGCGGGCTGCGGGACTACGTTGCGTGGCTCCCGCGCCCGAATACCGATTATCGTTTGTAATTACTTTTAGTCCGTAGCGATCTCGATTAGTTAACTTAGCGTATCGGCGGCTCCCGGAGACTTTGTATGATTTCATCCGTCTCACCGACGTCGCAGCAGCAACAAGAAGAGGACCACAAGGACGGAAAGCCACGCATACAGGTTGTATTTTGAGTCCGCGTTCCTTTACTACCATTTAAGAGCAATTAAGCTGCCGAGCTTCATTC